ACAAATTACATTTCTTGTAAAATTGCCACACTGACTTCCAAGAAAAATATCAGTTTCTAATCTACGTCACGAAGCATGATTAAAGAATCAACGCAAAAACTAATTGACTAAGCTGACTGCTAACCCTACAACCGTCCCCCCAGAGGTGGGCGTGTTAACTAAGTAGTCTCCACAGAGGTGGGCGTGTTAACTAAGTAGTCCCCACAGAGGTGGGCGTGTTAACTAAGTAGTCCCCCCAGAGGTGGGCGTGTTAACTAAGTAGTCTCCACAGAAGCGGGCGTGTTAACTAAGTAGTCTCCACAGAAGCGGGCGTGTTAACTTAGTAGTCTCCACAGAAGCGGGCGTGTCAACTAAGTAGTCTCCACAGAGGTGGGCGTGTTAACTAAGTAGTCTCCACAGAGGGGGGCGTGTTAACTAATTAGTCTCCACAGAGGTGAGCGTGTTAACTAAGTAGTCTCCACAGAGGTGGGTGTGTTAACTAAGTAGTCTCCACAGAGGTGGGCGTGTTAACTAAGTAGTCTCCACAGAGGTGGGCGTGTTAACTTAGTAGTCTCCACAGAAGTGGGTGTGTTAACTAAGTAGTCTCCACAGAGGTGAGCGTGTTAACTAAGTAGTCTCCACAGAGGTGGGCGTGTTAACTTAGTAGTCTCCACAGAGGTGGGCGTGTTAACTTAGTAGTCTCCACAGAGGTGGGCGTGTTAACTAAGTAGTCTCCGCAGAGGTGGGCGTGTTAACTAAGTAGTCTCCACAGAGGGGGGCGTGTTAACTAAGTAGTCCCCACAGAGGTGGGCGTGTTAACTAAGTAGTCTCCATAGAGGTGGGCGTGTTAACTAAGTAGTCCCCCCAGAGGTGGGCGTGTTAACTAAGTAGTCTCCACAGAGGGGGGCGTGTCAACTAAGTAGTCTCCACAGAGGTGGGCGTGTTAACTAAGTAGTCTCCACAGAAGCGGGCGTGTCAACTAAGTAGTCTCCATAGAGGTGGGCGTGTTAACTAAGTAGTCCCCCAAGAGGTGGGCGTGTTAACTAAGTAGTCTCCATAGAGGTGGGCGTGTTAACTAAGTAGTCCCCCCAGAGGTGGGCGTGTTAACTAAGTAGTCTCCACAGAGGTGAGCGTGTTAACTAAGTAGTCTCCACAGAGGGGGGCGTGTTAACTAAGTAGTCTCCACAGAGGGGGGCGTGTTAACTAAGTAGTCTCCACAGAGGGGGGCGTGTTAACTAAGTAGTCTCCACAGAGGGGGGCGTGTTAACTAAGTAGTCTCCACAGAGGGGGCCGTGTTAACTAAGTAGTCTCCACAGAGGGGGGCGTGTTAACTAAGTAGTCTCCACAGAGGTGGGCGTGTTAACTTAGTAGTCCCCACAGAGGTGGGCGTGTTAACTAAGTAGTCTCCACAGAAGCGGGCGTGTCAACTAAGTAGTCTCCACAGAGGTGGGCGTGTTAACTTAGTAGTCTCCACAGAGGTGGGCGTGTTAACTAAGTAGTCCCCCCAGAGGTGGGCGTGTTAACTAAGTAGTCTCCACAGAGGTGAGCGTGTTAACTAAGTAGTCTCCACAGAGGGGGGCGTTTTAACTAAGTAGTCTCCACAGAGGGGGGCGTGTTAACTAAGTAGTCTCCACAGAGGTGAGCGTGTTAACTAAGTAGTCTCCACAGAGGTGGGCGTGTTAACTTAGTAGTCTCCACAGAGGTGAGCGTGTTAACTAAGTAGTCTCCACAGAGGTGAGCGTGTTAACTAAGTAGTCTCCACAGAGGTGAGCGTGTTAACTAAGTAGTCTCCACAGAGGTGGGCGTGTTAACTTAGTAGTCTCCACAGAGGTGAGCGTGTTAACTAAGTAGTCTCCACAGAGGTGGGCGTGTTAACTAAGTAGTCTCCACAGAGGTGGGCGTGTTAACTAAGTAGTCTCCACAGAGGTGGGCGTGTTAACTAAGTAGTCTCCACAGAAGTGGGTGTGTTAACTAAGTAGTCTCCACAGAGGTGAGCGTGTTAACTAAGTAGTCTCCACAGAGGTGGGCGTGTTAACTTAGTAGTCTCCACAGAGGTGAGCGTGTTAACTAAGTAGTCTCCACAGAGGTGGGCGTGTTAACTAAGTAGTCTCCACAGAGGTGGGCGTGTTAACTAAGTAGTCTCCACAGAGGTGGGCGTGTTAACTAAGTAGTCTCCACAGAGGTGGGCGTGTTAACTTAGTAGTCTCCACAGAAGTGGGTGTGTTAACTAAGTAGTCTCCACAGAGGTGAGCGTGTTAACTAAGTAGTCTCCACAGAGGTGGGCGTGTTAACTAAGTAGTCTCCACAGAGGTGGGCGTGTTAACTTAGTAGTCTCCACAGAGGTGAGCGTGTTAACTAAGTAGTCTCCACAGAGGTGGGCGTGTTAACTTAGTAGTCCCCACAGAGGTGGGCGTGTTAACTAAGTAGTCTCCACAGAAGCGGGCGTGTCAACTAAGTAGTCTCCACAGAGGTGGGCGTGTTAACTTAGTAGTCTCCACAGAGGTGAGCGTGTTAACTAAATAGTCTCCACAGAGGTGGGCGTGTTAACTAAGTAGTCTCCACAGAGGTGGGCGTGTTAACTAAGTAGTCTCCACAGAGGTGGGCGTGTTAACTAAGTAGTCTCCACAGAGGTGGGCGTGTTAACTAAGTAGTCTCCACAGAGGTGGGCGTGTTAACTAAGTAGTCTCCATAGAGGTGGGCGTGTTAACTAAGTGGTCTCCACAGAGGGGGGCGTGTTAACTTAGTACAACTTACAAAGTACGTGGTCACTACTATACGGCACACTACAACGTACCATTTCAGTAACATCATCGACTCGAAAGCGCATCAAACGCACTGAGCAGGAGCTCTGCAGGCGGAAAGGGATCTGAGTGCTCTCGTACTTAGAGAAACAGTGCAATTACTGAAAAAATAACATACGCTCAGCTCTGGAAATAGCAAATTGTAAAATACTTGACTAAACACTAACTAACTTGACTAAGGGAAATATCGCAGTATACGAAACAGTGAAGCAGGTCCAACCGCTGGTTGTGAGTCACACACGTATAACCACCATACGATATATTATATGTTACCTGTTACATTACACTTTTTCCGGGAGGTCAATCGGAACAGTCGTCCAATTTTCACGATTCACAATCTGCATACAATCAACTATCCAGTTACTCTCACAGAAGAGTCGAAACTCACAGTAGTTAAGTGAAGGTGCCCGTGGGGTCAAACACGGCCGAAGTTCTTCTTGTGATGATTCAGAGATGTGCACCGTGTTACTTTAGGCGGCGGCGGACGCCAAAATTGGTCGGCGGCGGCGGTCTGATCGCGGTCTGACAACTAGATATCCAAACCGCGGTCTACTGTGTACATGATGGTAATTTGGTTGTGTAACTGATGTATATGAATTGATTTCTTAATATCACTTTACATTGAAGAACTAATTTATCGTTAACAGCTGTATCTGTTGATCTGACGGCGGTCTGAGTCAAACTTTCGCGGCGGTGGTGCACGTCTCTGGGATGATTGCTATCACAAACCCTCAATGCTGGGAAACTGGTGACAGAAGTGGGATTATGGGTGATGGAAGAAGGTGAAATATGTGGTCTTGATGGGATAGATTAGAGAGGAAAATGGACAATTTAACCGAATGTAAGTTAAAAGGGAGCGAAGAAAACTACCAGTAAAGTTAGACTACTTTCCAGGAACTCTTTTAAACCTATTGTTGTAGTAGTATTGGTAAGGTCCATTATATAGGGCAGAACTAGGAAATAACATTAATTGTTAAGTCTTTGTTTTTTATAGTGCGTGTGCTTTTTCCTCCCTACTGCCAGCTCATCATAATACTCTGAACTTGAATGCATAATAGCATGACGCATAATGATGCATAATATATATGCTTTTGTTTTGTTTTACTTTTGGAATTTTCCCAAGGTTTAACTTTAATATAATGCCGGGACTGGTGTTACTTTCGTTTTTATCCTTCCTTTTATTAATAATATCTTCAGTGTTACTATTCTTATGAATTGAGTTGTCTCACAAGTAAGAGATAGAAGCTTGGAAGTAACAGGTAACAGACGTAGCAGTGGAATTGTAAAAATGTTCCTTATCTTTTCTAGAGAATTCAGTATGTCAATTCATCTAAGTATGCACCAACATGTGAAATATATTTTTAGCCGGAATTTTCATTGATAAAAAAGGCACTGGGTGACAATTGATTTAGAAACCTACGTAAGAAATTTGCACAGACACATTTTTTTGAAACAGCGTTATCTGACTGTATCGCTAGGAACTGAAGGGAAGGACGTGTGCTGCATGCAAATACTCAGAAGTGTACCTTCTAATCTCCGGTGTTGAATTATTGGTTAATCATTCTGTCTACTTTATCAATTACACCAGGTCCTAGATAAGCCCTGTGATAAACTTAGAATTCACAAATAAAGACTGTTTCAAAATCTAAGGCCAAGACCTTCTTCTAAACAGATGTTCCGTGAGACCGTGAACTTCAATTAAGCCGTTAAATCTTTAACTGTATCATAAACCAAGTGTATTTTTCATTGGTTTAACTTCCCACCTGGAACCATCCCACAGACCACTCCCTCTCCCACGATCCCTGAAGTCTATTTGGAGAAGGATCTGCGAAGTTTGCAGAGATATGGAACAGTTCCAACCCGGAGTAAAGTTACAGAGGTGTGCAGTGAACCGGTTGGGCCCTGTTCCGCTCGTGACCACCACGTGTTGCATCACGTGACCAAATATAGGTGTCACGTGGTTTTCACACTTCCCTCTCATGGTGCTGTTAATGAACTGGAACGTGTGCGTATTTATGAGCTTGAAATACCTCCCTCCATATTAGATTATCATTGCGTCTGAATGAATAAATCGAAATCAATAATTTCATTTCGCCGGTGTTTTGGGCTCGGTAACTGAAGTTGATTTTCTGACTTAATTTCAGTTCTTTTCCGGTTCTTTTCAAAGGCCTCTTCAGTCTCCTTAAATAGATTTTGTCGCACAACCGTCTGATCCCATCTTACCTGGTCTTAAAAGAGGACGCACCGAGCCTAAGTTAATTCCTCAATTGAAATGTTGCTAATTTTCCTCTTTCTTCTCGCGGTGGTTAACGGATTCTCACCCCTTTCTCCAGACCTTATAAGTGCTTTGGACAGCCAAATTCAAAAGGTTTGCTAATCATTAAAATTGCTTTTGAGTTTGATTGGAGTTAGCTTTATATCCTTACTGATTTTCATCTCTACCTATAAAAGTAAGAGAAATACAGGTAGAGATGATAGTGAGCCGACACAACTATTACTATTAGGCTACACTCCCATGAAATAGTTTCACGATAATCTAACCTAGCTCTGCATTGCGTAACAAATTAACAAAAAGTGATAAGATGAGCTCACCCTGTTCCGACCGAGTACCGCTATTTAGGTAACAGGATAAAAGCAGTGATCAGGAGTGCTGGGCGACACAGGTCGTTGCTCATTCCAGTGTGGGCATGTCTAATTGGTTTCCAACTGCCAATTTCACCGGCCATTTCACCACAGCATCCAATTTGCGGCTTGTTTGCTGACTTAAATGAGGGTTAATTTCTTATTCATGGTAGTTAGATTGTTGGTTTGTTGCAGGTTACAAGTTTGATGGAACCCCGTGCTGTTGCTAATGCTTTTATTAAAAAACCTTTCGTCAGAACTGAACAAAATTGTTTGAAATAGAACCATGACTCGTGTTTTCAATAGTATTCGTAAGATGAGAGCTTACAAGCACAGTATAAGAATCTATATGATGTCTTTTGAAATAATATATCAAATCCTAAAACGTACATTAAATCAAACTTTAAAGCGTACTTTTTGCGGGCTTGGGTTTTGTCGACCACAGTCCTCAACCAGAATACCATAATCTGAGGTCTTTACTTAAAATCTTAGACTAAATTCAGGATACAACACCTCGGGACAACTGCTGTTTGAATTTTGGTTACTGAAGCTTGATAAATTCGTTATAGCATAATCTAAGCAGGATGTATCATATAGACTCAAAATATTGCTGGCCTACTAGTTCGTCGAGAAGGTTTGTGAGAATTAAGGCAATAAGTTGCTGTTTTTATTGTGGGAATGCAAGAACGAGCTAAGCAACAAAAATAACTCAAATCATCGGATCTAACACAAGATAGTGTTTGCGTATAAAGAACCACGTTGCACGACCTTGGCAAAAGGATAGAATTTTATTAGAATATGCCTAGATGGCAAGCGGCGAGAAGCCAAATAACAGGTGCCATAATGACGGTAAAAACGAAGTGCCGAGCGTCTGCTTGCCTTGTTTTTATTAGTTTATTCCAGTAATTTTCTGTATTACTAGCAAGGACACAAGTTGCTGTATCGTTATTGTGGAAAGAGCTCCAGCACGATCTTGTTCTGAACGAATAATATTTAAATTGTTGTATTGAGATTTGAGAACAAATGCCAACGTGGTGTAAGTAATATGATGATCTTTTTCCACCTTGAGAAGGGTGAAAACGCTGAGGTATGCAACCTGCAATCCTAAGGTGATCAAAGCCCTTTCAAAACACTTTTAAGTATTCGAAAATGATACATAAATAAAAAATAAATAAATTCTAACATTTATTACACGCTTCGACGTTAAAATATACTTGGTAGTATTATAAACGTAGGTAGTATTAAGCATCGCTTTGTATTACGTCATTATTCCAGTTAGCTGAAACAAGGCCATATAATAATATATTGGAACGAGAAGTATCTTTGATTGGCCGAGAATTTGTAGAAGTAAATCACCTTCGCTCATAGTCCTTGGACCTTAAATAGGAAAACTTTATAAGGTTGAAGCGAATGTGCTTTATGCGTATGTGATCAACCGAGTGGTATTAATACTACAGCTAGTATTAATAGCATATAGGAGAAAACGACCGTACTTAATGGATAAGCTAACGCATCACATACCGTCTAGCTGCCTGGTATAAGTGAGCGGATAATAAGACCGAGATGAGCAGACCTGTTTGATCAGTGATCACCGATATTATAGGTACCGCCACAGAAAAGTAATCAGCGTCATTATTAACATTTGATTAAGAGGTAATGGTAACGTTTGGCCACTTTAATTGAACTTAACTAAGTGTTGATGAACGATGAAATAAAAAATAACCACGTTTCATCTCGTTAGATTTAATTATAGACTATTTAAATCCATCCGCAACTACCGCTTGATTTCTACTTCAGAGCAAGTCCATGTTTGACACCGATTTATTCCCCAGGTGGTAAAATGTCACGGATTATCCGGACTAAGTCTGACAGTGGTCCGGGACGGGGAGACCCTCTTCCACAGTGGGTACGGACACTCGGACATCATCTCCCAGTCCCCCGTCACCCCTGATACTCTATACGCTATCGGCTCAGTTTCCAAACAGTTCACTAGCTTTCTTCTGGAGTACTACCAGGAGCAGGGTATGATAGACTTGGTGCAGCCTCTCGCTCCTCAACTAGCCACAGCTAACGAGATATTCAGGATAACGGCCGGGTAAGCCTGTTAGTTTGTGTTCTTGTGGCACGTTTCCTTGTGGTACTAGAGCAATTGTAGAGTTCTTGTACGTGGAAAGGATCTTGAGTTTATACTTTATAGCGTAAAACATTTGGTTGTTGTGATCTAGACGTTCCTGTGCTTGGAATCTGTACTTTAAGATAAGAATCTGTACTAAAATAAGATGTTTTGATGTAGATAATACCGTGCCAGCAAGCTTTAGTTCCGCCAACGTCAGCAGGAACAAAGATAAGTAGAGAGTATTGTTGGCTTTAATGATGGCTGTCTAATTGTAGCTGTCTAATTGTGGATACGCTGCCGATATTATTTTAGAGGACAAAGTTCAATCGCACTTTGCAATTAATCTTTAAATTTCAAGTTAGAATATCATAACTATGTAAACTAATGAGTTGACTATTACAAACCATCTAATCATGTTATATGAGATCCTGGTGAAAATTCTGATCTGTCATCCAACATGGTTACGTGATACAAAATTGTTCGGCAGTTCAGAAAACGATAAGATAAACGTAAAGGATCTTCTAAGCCACAGAACAGGACTACCCAACTACATGGGACTGGAGTTTCTAGGGAACAGCACAAGACAACAACTATTCCAGGACTTATTCTACACTGAACAGGTTTTTATTCTTCTTTTCTAACGAGCATTTTGCCGAATATATCCCTTTTTCTGAAGGAGGTTGCTTCGATCATGTGCGGGATAGAAATTAGTCTTAGGTTGACCCAAAAAATCTGATTTTGGATGTGCAGGAGACGGTTTCCACATATTCAAACTGGCAGAGAAAGGGAAACATATTCAAAACGGATAAGAGAGGGAAATATAAAAATGTACTTGATTGAGAAACTCACCTCGAACCCCACCATTCAGGTGAAATATCGTCAATCCTTAGATGATAACTTAAGTAACACTGTTCCTGCTCTGGATCCAAATTCAGACTTGAATGGCTTACTTGAGTCCATAAAGGATGCTGCAAAATCGTCAATTGGTGTCATCAAACACAGGAAACGTAATCGCAGCGACGATGATGAGGTGAAAAACTTATCTAGCCAGCGTTACTTGTTGAGACAGCAGCTTAATGATAACCAGTCTTTAGACAGAACCTCACTTAGATCATCTATTAACTGCCTCACCAATCAGATCAAGCAGAGACTTTCTAACATACGATCAGCTGCTGCTGATGCTATCTGTAATACCATCAGTTCAACAACAGATAGTAAGAAAATGTTTGAAGCTGTTCGAACCCTGAACTTACCTAAAAGTAAAGCCCCTTCTAGTATTGGTGTTCATGATGAGCAAGGGTGCAATATTGCAACAGACACTGGTAAAGCTGCCGTAGTTGCTAAGTACCTTGAGCAACAACTTACTCGTGATGAAGCACCTTTAGAACCTTTTGTAGGACCTCCTCGCCCACTAGTTAAGCCTTTCACTAGTGAAGAAATCGGATCAGCTGCTAGAAGTCTCAAAAATGGTCGAGCTAACGGCCCAGATGGGATTCCTAATGAGCTTCTCAAGTATTCTACTGGATCAGTACACAGACGTTTTGCAGACATTATCAATAGAAGCTTCGAGACCAATTCCTACCTTGACCCCATTGGACAGGCAAACATTACCCCCTTACAGAAGCCAAATAAGCCCATTGGTCCAGTGAAGAATCTACGACCCCTCACTCTCTCAAATGCTGTTAGAAAGATTCTTTCAATGGCAACCTTGAAGAGAATTGAGAATAAAGTCAATGCCTTCACTGGTCCATGGCAATGTGCTTACAAGCAGGGTAGATCATGTGCTGACATTGTATGGTGCCAGCGTGTGATGTTATCAGTTGTCCAGAGGAAGAGGTGGGAATACCATCGCATGGGGATCGATATGTCTAGTGCCTTTGACACTATACGACGATCTACCATCCTCGATCTTCTTGTTGAGTGTGGCTGTGATGATGACGAAGTCCGTTTGGTAAGACTTTTGCTTTCCAACACCAAGCTCAAAGTCAACATCAACGGTACACTGTCTGCTGAATTCCAGAGTTTTCTCGGTGCATTCCAAGGTGACTGTCTGTCTGGATGCTTGTTCACACTTGTCTTAGCGGGTGCCTTGCGTGACCTCCGTAACAGGCTTGAAACTGCAACGAATAGGCCTAACCCACCTATCACCGATATTGGTCTTCCACTTGACAGTGAGTATGCTGATGATATCGACTTCAATGATGAAGATGAAGACAATCTGAGGGAGCTGTTGCCTATTGCAACAGAAGTCCTTAAAGATTGGAATCTCTTCGTTAACGAAGACAAAACTGATTTCACTCATGTGTACTTAGCTGAAAAGGGAGCTAAAGACGATCAGGGTAAGCCAATTGCAGGGAACGAGCTCTGGAGAAAGAGTATCACGCTTGGCTCCATGCTTTGTAGTAAGGAGGACATCTCTAGAAGGATATGTCTGGGATATGCCGCGTTTAACAAATACAAGAAAGCTTGGAACCATAAGATCCCTCTGAGCAAGAGGCTTCTGTTGTATGAGGCTCTGGTAGTATCCGTTTTAATGTACAATTCATCTTGCTGGGCTGCCCCTAAATCAGTATTGGAAAAACTAGATATTGCTCACAGACGTCATCTGCGATCAATTTTGAATTACAAATACCCTCACATCATCTCCAACAAGAACTTGTATAAACGCTGCAATAGCGAACCATTGTCAGCTAAAGTGGCTCGTAGTCGGTGGAGGATGCTCGGACATGTACTGCGTGGGCCTACAGATGGCCCTGCCTATTCGTCGCTTGTTTTTGCTGTCAACACCCTACAGCTTCAAGGGCGGCGTGGAAGACCGCAGTCAAACCTTTTCTCACTGATTCTACACGACCTTAGTGTCCGAAAATTATCGTTAAATAATTTATGTGATTTGAACTATTTAACGTTAATTGCTCAGAATAGAGTTAAATGGAGAAGTATGCAAATTGCATGACTTTTGTTTGAGAAAGATTAGGGGACAGAAATGTTTACTTTGTTTACTATCTGTTTCTTAGAGCTTTTGTTTATATGATTGAGAAAACAATAAAGTTAGAAGCATATCAAGTAAAAATTATAAGGCCAGTTGATTCAATCTCGTTAACGGAATAAAGGAAAATCAAGTTGTGTTGGGTCAAGAAATCAAATTGTCGCTGAATAGTGTCAGGCTGAAGAGAGATTACGCTTGACGTTTCCGTTTTAGACATGTTAGAAAGGGTCGCAATTCAACAATTCTTTGCAAAATCTGATTATTGAGATGTAAAAACGAATTGCCGATAATCCCCCAGTATATAAAATAATTCTGGCAAAACAAAACTAAACAATAAGAGTAAGACGATGGCTTGATATCGCTCGATTAATTACCAGAGGTATTAGAAGATTGAGGTATCGGAAATGATTCCACTATTGTCGGGGGAAAGCTTTTTTTAAAACAATGTTTTGAGTTCAGATTATACGAGGTTAGGTTTCGGACATTATTATTATTATTAGAATTAGATGAGCGTCTCATATTTTGCCATATCACCGCGTTAAAATCAATAAACAAAGTTTTGTCTTGTCACCTATTTTCGACTTCTGATGCTGAAGAAGAAAAACTTTTAAATCAATGGCACAAGCAGACGAGGAAAATAGACTAGACCGAGATATAGATACATACATCTTCCAACCAGATTCTGGTAATGGGAATATTAATCTAGACGGGATGTTTAACATTCTTCATTCCCCAATAAACAACGGCGGTAATGTTTGGAAAGTTTTCGTTTTTATTTTTCATCAAATAATTATCGAGATGCTGATATATTTCAACAAGTAATTTTCCCTGAAGTTTTGTCGGTTGTTGAAGGTTTGTGACAGCTCGTGTAGTGTTATACAAGTCACGTGATGGTAGGAACTATGACCCAGCTGCTTAAAAGTTAGAATAATCTCGAGAAAGGATAAACAGGTGTGTTTTGTGAAGAATTATAGTATCTTGACAACAAAATTTTAATCTTAAAAATTAGTTAAAATGGTTCTAGAAATCTAATCAAGGGAAAACGTCGCTTGTGATCGAGTTAGAGCTGATACCTCTTTCACTGTTATGAAATTTGTAGGCCCAGCTGGAGATTATATTTTTTATTGTGTAAAAAGAACTATTGCTCAAATACGCTAGGCCTGAACAGGCACAACTAAACGGTAAAACTCGAAAATGTTTACATAAGTACTTGGTTTTGCGAAACTCAGCCATGCCAATCTATAAAATTAATTACTAAAAGCTATAATAATGCTATAAAATGTATAATAAAACATTTTTACGCAAGTCTTGCTCTGAGCAGTTTACTGAGACCATTTAAGTTTCATTAATTGTACATTAGAAGTTCAATCCGAATGGAACTTTCGGAGTAAACAGCATTACTAGTGACTAGACCCTAACTAAACGGCATTTGCTCTTATACTTGCCGTTTAGTAAGGGTCTAAGTTTATTTTGTGGGTGATGTGAACGTTGTAGAATTTGTCGTTTATTGGGAGGAAGTATAGAATCCTTCTGGACATTTTCCAATTCCAGCTGAGTTGTGAATGTAAGTTTACCAGTCATTGTCATGAGAAATATGTACCAGCTGAATTGAACAGCTAGTCGGCTATGCAAACGGCTAGAAAGACTAATTAACTAACTACTCAATTAATGATCCCTTCGATAATTAAACTAGTAGAAGTAAACCAGCGATGGGGTGAGATGTGCCCCAGTATACAGTAGGATATTACAAATACAACAATATCAATAAATTATGGTTGATCCTTCACACTAGTTAATAAATATAAACATTAAATTAATCTACACTAAAAGTAAAGAATCAATGCTATATATTATATTAATCAATTATATCATCTCTCCACTTAACTCTTGTTTACTTTGAATTGCAAATAATAATAATCATGATCATAATCTTTATAATATTATATCAATGCGGTAGAAATCCAAGTATTTTGTTGGCACGCGATGCACGCGAATTTCTTAAATATTTGTATATATGATAGATAAGTGTGGCGGTGAAAGTAACCAGCCCCTCCCACCAGGACAGCAGGAGAGAATACCGCGGATCATGGCACTACAACAACTGGTTATACGTTGCAGCAGCTCGTGCTGGAGAGATCATGTCAGGACGGACCTACGAGCAGGACCTACAGAGACTGGTGTACAGCAACCTGGGTATGCGGGCTGGCACGCTCAGTGATAAAGAGTTTGTGGGCAGGAATAAGGGGAGAATTGCTAAACCTTACCTTTATTTGAGGGGAGAGAACAGATTTCTTGGAGACGAAGTATGGCTCAGGTTTGCTGGACAATGTTTTTTTTCTCGTATTCGTCTTGTAAATCGGACATTTGTTAAAACTTTGATGCAACACCCGACCCACTTCAATTCTCAACAGTGGTCTTCTAGCAATGATTTCTTGGCCCACAAGGGCATATCATAAATATGCTTTGTCTACTCTGTGGCAACCCTCCAAGGGATGATGCCGGGAAAATGAGGGGGGAAGTTGGCAGATCGAATGAGGAGGAATTATAATGTTTTTTTACCTGACCACCAACCGCTGCAGATCGTGGAATCCCTCAATGACGCCAGCAGGAGGATTGCTAGCGTCAGGTAAAGACATGGCCCTGTGGATGAACTTTCTGCTTGGTGGTGGTGTTCTCAATTCCAGACGAAGACTGGTCAGATCCCAGACTATTGACAATATGTTCCACAAGCTCAGCGAGTACAAAAGTAAGTGTGCTTCAAATATTTTCTTCGCAGCTGAGTTAATATCAGTCGAATGAATATCATGAACGTTCTCTGGAAGGTTACTTGTAGTTACCAGTAACTAGTTACAACTTATCGGATGTTATTTTACTAGACATTGCGTGAACGGAGGTAATTTTGAACGGACATTAAAATGAACAGCTCGAAGACATTCATGATCAATATTTAATGTAACAACCTCATCGGACTTTGTTTGAACGGACATCAAAAAGACCGCTTACAGGGTCTCCAGCGTCCAATTTATGTCCTTATGTAGTCATTAACCCGACTGTTCTCAGATTGGTCCCGACCCTTTCCTAACTGGAGTTCTAGTTGTGTTGGATATGGCGAGGGCTGGTTTCTCTTCACATGTCCTTTAGGTGAGCTCTCCTTTCACTGCCCCTCTGAGTGGGTGGCAATTTTTCAGCTGTCCTTTGCATCTAAGTGAGCGGAGTTTTCTTCTTATGAAACTGTTGTGTCATAAGACGTCCTGATAAATTCTTGCCCGTGAACACACCAATATCTTTAAGCATCAAGTTTAACACAGCTAACAAATTCAGATCACGATAACCCTGAGTACAGCCATTCTGGTAACTACTACAACGTCCATTATTCAAAGATCAATCTCTACCCGGAGCACAAACTTGGTGTTTTCTACGCTTTCTCCGGAGGACGGGCCAGTCTGAACAGAAAGCTGTTCTCTGTTCTTGATGTGATTATCCTAGACATGGTCCTGAACGGTAACCTGGACCCAGACATATCCTCAGAAGTAGACAGAGAATTAGAGTCATGGGGTGAGTCCCCTTTCTCCTTTTTGATGTTAAATTTTTGTGAAATTTAATCAAATTGATTATTAAAGGACTTTGGAATTGAATTCTGCGCCAAAGCATAAACTCAGATATTGAGTTAACGCTGCCTTAATCACTTAATTTCAAAAATGCAATCGCATTCATTAGATTTCTTGAATTCCATCTGTTTGGTCTAATAACATTAAATCTCAAGTAGCTGGGCCACAACTCACTCAAGTGAAACTTCTTGCTCTTATCTTTATTCGATTGGACCCTCTCCAAATCTCAGCTGGTGATGTTTCAGGCAAGTCACTGTCCTAATAACCAATCCACTCAGGTTGCCAGAGCAATGATTTACCCGTACTGCAAGACCGGCAGAAATGGCAATCTCAGCATCAGTCGATAGGTGGTGTGTCTCACCAGGAGAACCTGAATCAGCTCCCATCTGACACTAACATTAAAATAATGAAGCTCCAGTCTCCGATGGACGTCCGGCCGCGCCTTACTTCCGTCCATCTGGGAGTTTTCAGACACCCCTTCTTAGGAAAAGCGGAGTTGCTTTATGACCACAAGCACACTCCTAGACTAGTACTCAACGACAGGTGGACCTCACGGATATATGAGGTTAAAGGAAACCACAGTGAACATAGTGGCCACAAGAAGAAGATAGACACCAGCGAGGAGCCGCTTGTCTTACACTGTTTCTTTGACAACATCCCCTGGCTACCTGACCATCTAAAGGTAATCTACAATTATTTTTTCATTAATATTATATTATTAGGAAAGATTGATACATTTATTAAGGTTACGAAGATGGAAAAGAAAATGTATTTTCATATTGAATCAAAACAAACCATATTTTGTGTTTTGGAGACAATAAGATCAAACAAATGGTAGTTTGTGCGTCTTATTAATATTAGTTATTTGTTGAACAACAAAATGTTTATTTCAGGATGATGCACAAAACGAGATGCTTATAGAAATAGAACCACCTGCGTCTCCTCACTCGAAAGTTCAGAAGATAACAATCAAGAGGTGGATCAGTTACGACATGGACGCGGTTTCCTTCACTCGCGTAAAAGATTGAGCGAAATAATTTGTTCATCGTTTCACTTCGAATTCAATCCATCTTGGCAATGGTCGAAATGTCAATTTAATTGACTTTGAATCATGAATAGTTATCACATATCAGAAGAAATGAGAAAGCAAGATCAGACTATGACAATTCAGAAATTTCGTAAGTGCATGCTCTAGTTAGATACATATTGTTGCCGTTCTTTGTTCTTTGTTTTAAATGGTAATCATGAATCTGGACACTGGAATCAGTCGTTTTGAAGTTATATAAGTAGCGTCTGCGTAAGTAGCGAGGTGCTTCGAAATTAATCTTAAACGATTCCTGATCAGTGATCGTTCAATTTAGTAATGCATCGCTGTATGATCTGTGCACTGCACTGTGGATCCGACAAATATTTTTGATGCCCGACCCAGTATTCTGGGCGGCGCTCAGCCTGTCATGCACTCCGCAAAATCTCTATTCAATTCTATGATTATGAACAGAAATATAATAGCATAGCCTGGGGTCCCCAGGTAAGGCCCAGTAGTGCATCGAGCTACAACATACAACCACCCGTTAAGGAAATGCTACCGTGTTATTTAATTGCAATTGTCTGCTGTAAAACAATTTTGCTCTAACCAGAGCCCTCTCGCTCGAATTGCAATAGCGCGAGGCCGTCGCGTTACGTAGGGCCAGGGACAAAATTATATTTGGACCGTTCTGTTAGTGTTACATTTGCAATTGTAAATTGTAAATTGCTGATTTCGATTTTTATTTATAATGCAGTAATTATTTAAAGTTAAGGTGCACAACTTTTTTCTGCAAATTTTTATATTACATAGCTCTTCATTGATTGACGTTGTCAACCCTTCCAGATCGCTGCTCTGCGAAGCAAGAATGCTTGTTTGCGCGGCGCGTCGAAGCGGCGAAGTCCTCCGAAGCTCTTCACAATTAGTATTACTTAAAAACCAAAACTAACTTGCATCCAAAAGCGTAAACAGCTCAATTCTCGTTTTAAGCTTGTCTGAAAAAAAAATATTTTTTGCTTATAACTCGTCAAGAAATGATTTTCGTGCTATTTTAAATAACTATACTGGTAAAATATTTGTTTCAAGACCGTCGACGAGTCCATTTCGGCGCGCGTCTTGGTTTACCTGGGGCCGGGACCTCAGGCTATCATGTTCATTAACGAATAGAGATTTGGCGGAAATATGACAGGCTGAGCGCGGCCCAGTAAGTCTTGGTAGTTTATAAACCTATAACGTAAAGGGAAGTACCGAACAAAAATAACCAAGCTGAGTAAAATTTATTAAATCAATCTTAATTGACGATGCCAGTACAACATACAATGCAACTTTTATTGTCCATTGTTAATAGACTAGCCCGGCGCGCGCTAATTGTATCACACCGTGACCCCCACGGTTGTTTCACTATAGTGCACAGGAAGACTATAGTGCAAAGAAACTGCTGCTCACTGCTGCTAACTGTTGCTAACTGCTGCTCACTGTTACCTTGGGACCCCAGGCTATTATGTTCATGAGTGCATGAGTGCGCGGCTCCCCTGTATTGTAGAAACTCTACAGGGGTAGTGAAACGACCGTGGGGTCACGACGTGATACAAGGTCATACAACGTATGATAAGCGCGCGCTACACCGTAGCACTTGCCTCGCATGCTACTTCGAAGAAATTTAGACGAGTAACATGCGTCAAAACTTTAATTGCAACTTTTATTTTTACATGCTATGCACTACACACTAGCTCGTGGCTCTGCTACAATCTCGAGTCTCTAAGCACGATAACCAATAACGCAGCGCGTCGTTATGCATTGGGCGCCCCAATAATTATTAATTATATTGTAATATATTAGCTAAGTTTAAATACTAACTTGTATTTAAGTTTTTACATCAAACCATGGATTAGATTGGAACAATTTTGAGATAATTTTGTCTCATTCTGCTTTGTTTGCAGCGTCACATTTACGATTTGATAAAGCGTTTAATTTATGTTCTCAGTTCTTTTGAGGACAGCGAAATTTTGTGAGCCCCAGTGGAGACGGGTATCATCAAGCTTTAAAGTGAGCTAAACACGTTATATTGCACAGTGGGTTTATGCAGACCACACGGGACAGATATCAGGATTGGAGGTGGAAGTGTACACATATGTCCCAAATTTGAATATGGTTTAAACCATGTCGATTGGTGCAACTTATATTTTCACCGAAAGCACACTCCCCAAATAACAAATTACACGCCTTGCAGTAACTTCTTTCCAACTTCATGAATCGAGATCAAATCTCCTGCAATGTGTTTAGAATTAATAAGTACACTTATACAAATTACTTGGAATACTTTCGAGGTGCCTCCTAAGTGATCAAGTGAACGATGCCACGTTCAATTTTGGTCAGTGTAAAACTAATTCATACGTATCAAATTGGATGTATGTGCTTTCAGTGGAGATATAGCACGCGTTTCTGATCGAGGTGGTTTTTATAGTGCAGTTGTATACCTTTTTTACATTGCTCGTTTAGTTGCTATGGAAACATATTATCCAAGTTATTTTTCATGATTTTATAGTTTGAGTTACTGTCTTGGATGGACAATGCACACATCCCAGTCACTTTTTATGAAAGATATAGTCTAGTGGAGGAGATTTTGCATAATAGTGAATAGACTGATCGACTTTGTAACTAGAACCATAAGACTCGATTGTGGTACTGAAAGTTCTATTTCCAAATAAAGCTTTGATAAACGGACAATCATCAAAATATGAAATGAGATTCTGGAAGATTTTTGAAGAGAAGCTTTTCTGGCATCTCCTTGACCAAAATTTGGTGGTTATGACTGAATTTTTGACCAGTGATCAATCAGTGAGGTCGGTGAGAGTGACACAAGTCGCCATCAAGGTATTGGAACCAGTATATCCGGAGAAAACTTTGATGCAATGAAAATTTTGAATATGTCCTACCGGTAGGACATTTTCAAATTTACGCTTTCTGCGACCCAAAATTCACAGTTTTGACTGAATTTTTCTCGAATGACCATCTAGCAAGGTCAATGCCCAGCAAATTGTTTGCACTTAAAAAACACAGAATTTGCAATTCATCTGTAATGAACTTATTGTGTCATATCATACATCATTGGAAAGAGCATTGGAATAGCAAACTATCACAACAAAAATGAAATTATTTCGACTTCCCTGTGTCGAGTTATTATCAAAAAACACGTTCTCATGCGCAAATGTGCATGTTCAAAGTAGCATTTTCAAGTCAACATTCTGAGCCTCAGGAAGTTGCTAGGAGATCAATTTTTGCTGCAATGAGCTACATTAATAATGAACTATATGAAAATAAGCACCGAACCATGTTATAGTGAATTACTCAAAATTTGTCCTGAGTGCAAACAAATCGCTGGGTATTAAGAAGTGCAGTCTATTCACTACTGTACAAAATATTCACATCCTCCACTTTATCTTTTTTAACAGACCTTGTCAGCCTGCATAGAGATTAGAGATAGGGTTGCGTGATAAATACAAGAGTTTCTGACCAACATGTTTGATTCTTGTGAATTTGGGCTCTCAGACCGAACCCTAAATATTTGTAATTTGCGGTAAAAAAGGACTATTAGGTCTAACACAAATTTGTTTGTAATATGATGAAAAGCATGAATTTACCCTCTTCTGAATAAAACTTCACTGCATGAAAAGACCTCTATCATGCTTCACATCATTTCCTTTGTTTAGTTGAAATATGCATATTAAGAGTGACTAATCTTTTCTTTGTTTTTTAGGTATGAAATTACATTAAGCTACCAAGTTTTCGGAAACTGTGTCATGGATTCCGAAGGCAAGTCTAGCCATTCTTCCAAGTCTGACGAGAAACTGAAAAAGAAAAAGAAGAAAGGCTCAAATGGAGAGAAGCTAAATCATAACACACAGAGTAAAAAGAGACCAAAGAAAAAACAGAAGACTGCAAAGAAAAGTTTAAACTTATTAGAGTATTAAGAGTTTTCTGAAATGATACTTCAGGATCAATGATTATTATGTAGTCAGTTTATATATAATAGTCAGTTTCTTTCTTACTTGCTCATTTACAATAGACAAGGGGAGGTAGTGAAAATAATATTCCCATCATAAAACATGATCATATGTCATTTGTTGAAAATATACTCTTCCCTTAATCTTTCACGTGTAATACTGTTCATATATTATGGAAATACTTTTTCGCAACATTAATTAAGACCCTCATTTGCATTGTCTATTCGGAATGAGAGAAGGCAACTCAAAATCACCACTTTTTGTCCACAAATATAATAAACTTTTCTTAAAACAGACAGCAGTGATTTATCTTAACAGTGATTTATCTTAACAGGTACTACAACGCCCCAAGTAGCCCAAGTGAGAACTACCACACAATATGTGATACCAAAACAACCAACCACCTGTACCTCTACGGTGAGTTAACATATCTTGGTTCTGCAACTTACCAATATTAAGAGAACCCCAAGTACGCTGTACTTTGGTTTCACTTTATACTGTAAATATCAATCCTATGCTGATGATAGCGCTGAGGCACTGGCAGTCCGTTATTGTCATCATTCTAGTTGTGTTGGACAAGAAGAAGAGGATATATTCTGTACTTGTGATGAATTTGATGATGTTTTTGATATTTTCGTGTCATAGAGGGACACCCTACTAAGTTATCACCTTAATAACACCAGAATGTGTGTGTGTGTGTGTGTCTGTCTGTCTGTCTGTCTGTGTGTAATTTCCGAACGGTTATACAAAAAAAACGGTAAGAGTTACGGGACTGGTTTTTTCGGTATAGTGCCGACAAAACTCTGACGAAGCCAATAGGCAAATTTTATAAAAATCGGCCGGTGGTAAGTGGTTTAATTGATGGTTTTGTACCACAAAATATGTTACATAAAATGGCTTGAGAAGAACGGCAAGAGTTACGGGGCTAGCTCTCTCTCTCTCTCTCTCTCTCTGCATAATATTACATGGCGTATATATTACATGGCGTATATATTACATGGTCATATAATACTATAAACTTATTAGGGGAGGGAGTGCTCAAACGGTCTGTTTGGACTGTAGAGAGAGTTCATACTTTCATACGACAATTCAATGCATGTTCACAAATATGATAGGCTGGTGTGGTGCATGGTGTTAAGGGTTAATTTCCATTCATTATTGATTAAGAATTACTATCTTTTAAGCATACTATTGGATACGTGAGGGCACTCCGAATAGAATTGCTCGCCTAATCCGGGTTTTGACTCTGCGGGTAATTACTCCTACCCTTTTTAACTGCGGCAGTGAAATCCCGGCCGTAGGCCGGGTTACACTAGTATATAATATAATTGCCTACCTAATAGCTCTGAATAAACTGAAGACTAGCTAGTAGCTTGTTATAATTATCTTATTTAATAATAAAATACTGATCAAACCAGAACCGATATATTCAAATCGAAACGTAAGTTCAATAATAAAATGAGATCTGCACTTCAATAAATAATTTAAGGTATAAATAAGTAACGGCATAAAAAGATGCATACTTAATTAGTGCTGAATTCTTATAGCGAACAGTAAATACAGGAAGCAATCTTAAGAGAGAACAATTTGGCGATTTAATTTCAATTAAGACAGTCGAAATTATCTTCCATATGACATCCTTTTTGGTTTTTAGCTGGTAAGTGATAAAAGTTGCAACATCGAGATAAAAGTTGCAACATCGAGCTAAAAGATAACAGCATAAACTATTGAAGCTTTGATCTGCCCAACAAATCATCAGCCAAAACGAGGCCATTAAATCTATACGTAAAACTATTTTTAAAGCTTGTCGGATAATTAACTCAATTACTCTCATCTTTAACTCACTAAGTAGATTTTGGGTTTTTTTTAGCATGAGTAAAATCTGAGAATGAGAATTTATCTACTGGTATGTTGTCAATCAAAGCAAAACACACTCGAAATAACCAAAACTTACAAAACCTGTATCCCTCACAAAGCCAACAAAAGCAACATCCCAATTAGCTTCTAGTATTCAGGAGCTAGCTTGTAAGCAAGCTATAGAAATGAGGAAATGCCTCCATTTATACAACTAAGAGGTGTTCAGTTAACGAGCGCGATGTGTGAGCAGTTGTAAAGATATAATATCAGCTATCTCTGCGTTACTAAGCAACGTAGAAATCCTGGTAGAGTCTACGCGATTCTGATTCCCATTGTAGTTGCATGACTTTTATCTTATTGCATTGGGCAGACATTTAATGAAATTCACACTTTCCAATAATCATGTGAAATTAATTCCCTTTATTTGACTTTTAACGGATAGGAAAACATGAAATCAGCCTTAGATAAATCATGATTACAATCACTGATCTTTAACAAAAGATTTTGCCCGATTTCCAAAAGTGGCGTAATGACGACTTGTACGTTCCAGTAAGGTTTTCAGCAGTAGTTTCTTCATTCTCCCTTTGTAAGTTTGTAATGCCCTATATTAGTAGTATATAGTACTATATTAGTACTGCTGTAGCACAAGATACTAACGTTTTATTGTTTGACTTTTTAAAGTTTACAAATTGTCATGTAGACTACTGGTAAGTTTCAAACATACACAGTACATTCTATATAATAAGGACAACAGTCTCATTGTTATATTATACTTGTATAATGATGAATAGTTATAAATTTCGATTAAATTATTGTATAAACATTCACCGTAACAATCCGCTCAAAACTAAAATCACCGTCCATGTCGGAGGCCAGAATGTAACTGGAATGTAACTGGAATGTAACTGGAATGCAGCCATAGTTCACCTCAAACAATAGACACAGCTGACAAGTGGCACTGAGAATGAGAATTTATCTACTGGTATGTTGTCAATCAAAGCAAAACACACTCGAAATAACCAAAACTTACAAAACCTGTATCCCTCACAAAGCCAACAAAAGCAACATCCCAATTAGCTTCTAGTATTCAGGAGCTAGCTTGTAAGCAAGCTATAGAAATGAGGAAATGCCTCCATTTATACAACTAAGAGGTGTTCAGTTAACGAGCGCGATGTGTGAGCAGTTGTAAAGATATAATATCAGCTATCTCTGCGTTACTAAGCAACGTAGAAATCCTGGTAGAGTCTACGCGATTCTGATTCCCATAGTAGTTGCATGACTTTTATCTTATTGCATTGGGCAGACATTTAATGAAATTCACACTTTCCAATAATCATGTGAAATTAATTCCCTTTATTTGACTTTTAACGGATAGGAAAACATGAAATCAGCCTTAGATAAATCATGATTACAATCACTGATCTTTAACAAAAGATTTTGCCCGATTTCCAAAAGTGGCGTAATGACGACTTGTACGTTCCAGTAAGGTTTTCAGCAGTAGTTTCTTCATTCTCCCTTTGTAAGTTTGTAATGCCCTATATTAGTAGTATATAGTACTATATTAGTACTGCTGTAGCACAAGATACTAACGTTTTATTGTTTGACTTTTTAAAGTTTACAAATTGTCATGTAGACTGGTAAGTTTCAAACATACACAGTACATTCTATATAATAAGGACAACAGTCTCATTGTTATATTATACTTGTATAATGATGAATAGTTATAAATTTCGATTAAATTATTGTATAAACATTCACCGTAACAATCTGCTCAAAACTAAAATCACCGTCCATGTCGGAGGCCAGAATGTAACTGGAATGTAACTGGAATGTAACTGGAATGCAGCCATAGTTCACCTCAAACAATAGACACAGCTGACAAGTGGCACTACACCTGTCACCAACATGCATGTGAGCAGTGAGAAGTGCGATAGATAACAGCTATTCAGAAAGTTGTCTAAAACATCCTTCCTAACTTCCGCCAACTTTTGGGGTCTAGTTTGGAGATTTGGACCACATCAAACAGAGAGTCGCATGAAGGATCACCACACTATGGGGGGATATTTCTGATGTATTTTTACGGACTATGTATTTTATCTACCAGCTCTCAAAATGGTGTGTAAATGTAGTGACGTGGATTTTCTCAAGTTTGTAAATATGCCGTAATTTTTCAAGAAAATTCATCGTTTTGAATCGATAGATAGTATTAAAAATATATATATTATATATATTTAAAAGATGGACTTTCGATTCTCTGGGCCCCTCATAGGACAGGGGAGGTGTCTGGTAAATGAAGGTTTAAATTTCACGAAACCAGTAATTGGAGGAAATAAGGTGCTCTGTAAATAAAATATTAATAAACCTTAGCCGGTAAACCGAAGTTTGATCATTTAAATGACACCCTACCGTATAATACTAAATACCTTTTGTCACTGTGCCAAAACGATCGAAAACAGGTTTATCACAAGTGGCAAAATTGTTTACTTACTAGCTGGGAACTAAGGAAGGGGATTCAGGGAAATTGCTGTGATAATTGCTGTTTCCTCGCACTGGGTCCGCTGCTTCTATTATTTAAAACAGCATCTTGTACGTGAACATTTAACATATTGAATAAGATCCCATATTCAATGAGATCATCAAAGCTGACATTGCATGCTTCACATGCTATAGAGTCATTAGTAACCTGGTATAATATCGGCAGGATAGTAGTATATGTGGAAATATGTCGTAATGGTCATAATTAAAGTAAAAGATAAATCATATTGGAATTTGGATATGCCACATGACAAATTTTGCTCAACTAGTAGGTAACATTAAGATTGTCACAAATATGATATAATTAGTCAATTAGAAAAAGGATTATCACGAGTTATGACATTGAACACCCGGAAACTAAGAAAAGAGATCCAAGGGAGAGCCAAAAAAAACAAGTAGTACCACTACTATTAATTCCGTTGCTCCATGGTAACGGTTCAATTGCATTTATTGTTTGAGGACCAAACAGCTATAAGAACGGACAATTTGAAAGATTTTCAAAAGAGGTGACGACCATAGTCATGGATCTGACGACATTCCCGTCTATATAACTTCCGCCCCGGGGTTTGAGACTTGGAATACCTCAAGGGACCCATTAGAAACAAATTTGGCTTGGGTAGAAATTTTGGCTATGGGGCAGTTTTGCGCAATTGACCACGCCCTTTTTTGGCGCTTTTGCAACTTTAGAATCAAAATAACTCCGCTTCTAATTGGAATTAGAAGCTCAGCTTGGCTTTGAAGTTGTTCAGAATCATCACATTTAGGGGGGTAGAGCATAATTTTAAAGTCAACAGACATCGGGTTGTTGAGTTATGTGACCACACCCTTATTTACCCTCGCGAGTCATGATTTTCACACTAAATACGAGATATCTCGGCTTCTGATTGAGCTACGTGCTCATCCTGGGCATTAAAATGTTCAGAATCATCACATTGAGTAGGGTAGACCACAATTTCAAAGTCCTCAGATGTCAGGTTGTTGAGTTATTAGGCCCCAACCTGTTTTTACGCTCTTGCGGGAAGCGATTGCAGCGCTTAAAATCAAAATAACTCAGCCTCCAATTGAAGTTAGGAGCAAAACTCGGGCAGCAAAATGTTCACAATCATCACATTGAGTGGGGTAGAACGTAGTTTCAAAGTCCTCAGACGTCAGGTTGTTGAGTTATTAGGCCCACACCATAATATTTACGCTCTCGCGAGTCGCGAGTCGACACTTAAAATCAAAATAACTCGGCTTCTGATTAGAGTTAGGAACTAAACTTGGGCATAAAAATGTTCAGAATCATCACATTAAGTGGGGTAGAACGTGGTTTCAAAGTTCTCAGGCGTCAGGTTGTTGAGTTATTAGGCGGAACCCTATTTTTATGCTCTCGCGAGTCGCGATTCGACACTTAAAATCAAAATAACTCGGCTTCTGATTAGAGTTAGGAACTAAACTTGGGCATAAAAATGTTCAGAATCATCACATTGAGTGGGATAGAACGTAGTTTCAAAGTCATCAGACGTCAGGTTGTTGAGTTATTAGGCCCACACCATAATATTTACTCTCTCGCAAGTCGCGAGTCGACACTTAAAATCAAAATAACTCGGCTTCTGATTAGAGTTAGGAACTACACTTGGGCATAAAAATGTCCAGAATCATCACATTGAGTGGGATAGAACGTAGTTTCAAAGTCCTCAGACGTCAGGTTGTTGAGTTATTAGGCGGAACCCTATTTTTATGCTCTCGCGAGTCGCGAGTCAACACTTAAAATCAAGATAACTCGGCTTCTGATTAGAGTTAGGAACAAAACTTGGGCATGGAAATGTTCAGAATTATCATATTAAGTGGGGTAGAACGTGGTTTCAAAGTTCTCAGGCGTCAGGTTGTTGAGTTATTAGGAGGAACCCTATTTTTATGCTCTCGCGAATCGCGAGTCGACACTTAAAATCAAAATAACTCGGTTTCTGATTAGAATTAGGAACAAAACTTGGGCATAAAAATGTTCAGAATCATCACATTGAGTGGGATAGAACGTGGTTTCAAAGTCATCAGACTTCAGGTTGTTGAGTTATTAGGCCCACACCATAATATTTACTCTCTCCCAAGTCGCGAGTCGACACTTAAAATCAAAATATCTCGGCTTCTGATTAGAGTTAGGAACTGAACTTGGGCATAAAAATGTTCACAATTCTGGACATTTCTATGCCCAAGTTTAATTCCTAACTCTAATCCGGAGCAGAGTTATTTTGATTTTAAGCATAGAATCACTACTTGCGAGAGCGTAAAAATAGGGTTCCGTCGAATAACTTAACAACCTGACGTCTGAAGACTTTGAAACCAAGTTCTACCCCACTTAATGTGATAATTCTGAACATTTCCATGCCCAAGTTTTGTTCCTAACTCTAATCAGGAACCGAGTTATCTTGATTTTAAGTGTTGACTCGCGAGAGCGTAAAAATAGGGTTCCGCCTAATAACTCATCAACCTGACGTCTGAGGACTTTGAAACTACGTTCTATTCCACTCAATGTGATGATTCTGAACATTTTTATGCCCAAGTTTAGTTCCTAACTCTAATCAGAAGCCGAGTTATTTTGATTTTAAGTGTCAACTCGCGACTTGCGAGAGAGTAAATATTATTGTGTGGGCCTAATAACTCAACAACCTGACGCCTGAGAACTTTGAAACCACGTTCTACCCCACTTAATGTGATGATTCTGAACATTTTTATGCCCAAGTTTAGTTCCTAACTCTAATCAGAAGCCGAGTTATTTTGATTTTAAGTGTCGACTCGCGACTCGCGAGAGCGTAAATATTATGGTGTGGGCCTAATAACTCAACAACCTGACGTCTGAGGACTTTGAAACTACGTTCTACCCCACTCAATGTGATGATTGTGAACATTTTGCTGCCCGAGTTTTGCTCCTAACTTCAATTGGAGGCTGAGTTATTTTGATTTTAAGCGCTGCAATCGCTACCCGCAAGAGCGTAAAAACAGGTTGGGGCCTAATAACTCAACAACCTGACATCTGAGGACTTTGAAATTGTGGTCTACCCTACTCAATGTGATGATTCTGAACATTTTAATGCCCAGGATGAGCACGTAGCGCAATCAGAAGCCGAGATATCTCGTATTTAGTGTGAAAATCACGACTCGCGAGGGTAAATAAGGGTGTGGTCACATAACTCAACAACCCGATGTCTGTTGACTTTAAAATTATGCTCTACCCCCCTAAATGTGATGATTCTGAACAACTTCAAAGCCAAGCTGAGCTTCTAATTCCAATTAGAAGCGGAGTTATTTTGATTCTAAAGTTGCAAAAGCGCCAAAAAAGGGCGTGGTCAATTGCGCAAAACTGCCCCATAGCCAAAATTTCTACCCAATCCAAATTTGTTTCTAATGGGTCCCTTGAGGTATTCCAAGTCTCAAACCCCGGGGCGGAAGTTATATAGACGGGAATGTCGTCAGATCCTTGACTACCAGGGAAGTTAATTTGCTATGGGGATATTTTAACTCGCATAAATTATGGAGTTATGCTGCTTTCTAGGTTATATACAATTTAAGTAAACATGTCAAATTAGGGCCAAACCTAGCATCAGTAGAACCGAAATCAGCAGTTTGACCAAAATCGCCGTCAATGTATTGTTGACTTGTTTGTATGTAAATAAAAACGTATCATTGTTCGTTCAGGAGAGGCGAGAAGAAGGTGATAAGTGCGACATAGCGTTAAGATGGGACTATTTGAACAGTAGCACAGAGGCGGATACAGCCGAGAGATTGAAATGGTAAGATTACAAAATTATTGTATTAGATATATCGAAAACATTTCTGAAATCTCTGTAGCATCCAACTACGCTCTTTACTGATAGAATGAGTCAAGTCTATGATGCAATTGATTACATTTTGAACTTCGAAGTCCTGAGGTCACATACTCACATAGATATAGAAAAGGGTCTTCTTGCTATTGCTAGTTTATGATAGGTTTTTGTTATGAAAATTTAAATTTAGGCAGTCAGTGTAGTGTTTTGAAGCGCGGCGCGCTCACTAACTCTCAAATCTAGCTACGAATATTGCCCATTCGATTAAACACTCGTAAAAACGAAACCACAAATACGAATTCAATTTACATTTTTACAAGCACGCTGCTTGATATAAATTCAGTAACGCTACAGTGCATGTTTCCGTAGGTACAAGATCCACCGTAGGATGCGGTACCAGGTAGCATCGGAGGAACGAAAAGCACAGCAACTTGGTATAATGGGACTCGAAAACATGACTTTATCAAAGCCTCCCACAAAACCGATTCATCCGGGATGACTGTCTTAGGTTGTCATTTATCTGAAAACGGAGATATCAGTTGAACAGTTCGTAACGATCCATGCTAACATATTATAGTCTAGTCATTTGAGTTTGATCCGCTACAATAGTAACTAGGGAAGAAGTTACGCCAGCAGTTGGAATCGGCGTAGGTTAATTAATAATCGCTAGCATGTGCTTTATTTCATCATCAAATCGTGGATTTCAGACTTCAGTGTAGGTCAATGATTGTTGGTTAATAATTTAACTGCTTTAAACTTTCAAAATACCTTATCGGCCTTTATTTTCACTAATTGTATTAACTATATATATTAACCCCAATTTTTCACGGAATCCAAGTCGAATATTTAAGCAATTCTATAATAGCATGACATTGGGGATCATCAAAATAAGAGCTGATAAGGTAAACCGAAACTATTGAGGTGTGGTTTAGTAATTTAAAATTTTATTTTTCTGACTCCTTGGTTTGTTGCCTTATTACAAAAAATGTAGCCCCCCTCCGATTATCGATCAAAAATGTATCCAACAATAACTCATTTCTTATTTTTCTGTAATAAGGTATTCAAACTCACGCGATGTTTACCGAATATTTAGCAATAAAAGGCCTGAAAATAAGATACTACTGTCTATCAGTAAAGTCAATACTTACATTAGATGTATTATATAATTCTTAGTAATAGTATCTTCACAATTGAAACATTTGTACATTATTCTGTAAATAATATAGTTTATTGAAACGTTTTTATACAGTACACGCTTACGCAATTTTATTGCCTTTATGGGTGAGCAAACAATTAGAAATCAAACCAATAGTCTGTCTCAAAGTAACGAAGCGTTCACAATTAACATCAGCTCGAGAAGATTTTTCAAAAGTTACGTGAGATAACTGATAAAAGTGGTAACTGGTAAACATTATTTTAATTAATCTAGGGAAATAATTTATCGCTAAACTCAGTATTACAACTAATGGAGTGATTTTAAATGTGCTGGGTTATCGTTGATACCAAGTTTGAGATGATGTCATTTGTGAACGCTCCGCCCAGGGATTTTCTTCATTTTTGATTTACTAACATTTTAATTAATTTCATGGGCTTAAAAACTTGTACGTATATTGTGATCAAATAGTTTCATTCTAACGTGTTCCAAAAATATAGTAAAACCTTGAACCGCATTCATGACAATCAAATCAAAATTCTACCAGAGATCAAGTTGAATAAGATTAGATTCTTGACGTTAACATAAAAACTGTTGGTATAGAAGTATGTTATAGCTTGCGTAATCCTGGCCCTAAAAACGTAAGATTTTGAATAGAGTATTCCTGAAAGATATGTTAGAAATACTTTATTCTATAAAAACCATCTCAGAAGTCAGAACACAATAATATTGTCTTGCTTTAACTTTCCATCGATAAAAGCATGGGTCACATTCAAGGGTATAGATTAGTAAGTTATGTCTAAAGTCAGTCGAAGGCCTCCCAACTTACTTCTTCTTTGATACTTGTCAGAGTAGATTGTTCTCCTATCAGAATCACTGCAGTTTTAGTCCCCTAAATTCTCGAACCAGATGACAAAAAGTCGTTGGCTACCTCAGTCCAAGTGTAACTGTTGAATAGTGTCACAGAGTACCTGATCACTGTTAACCGCAGGACTAGCATTACTACCGTTATTCTCAGTAATACTCCTGTTATCCAGGATCACACAGTTGGTATCCTGGGTACTGGTCGTGTTACCAGAGCAACCCTTCAAACTCTGCATCCTCGCGGAGAACTGCTCAAACTTACTCCGCAGAGCCACCACAAACTGTTTCTTAATCCTGCTGTTCCGAGCCAGGTAGATAAACGGGTTGGTAAAGCTTGTTAGTTCGAGGAGAGTGAGAACGGTTTGTCCCACAACTAACTCCACCTCTCTGGAGACCACCTCTGGGAATATGGTGAAGGAGATGTAGAGCACGAAGGGGGAGTAACAGCAGATGAAACACGAGGAGATGACCAGCATGGTGACGCTGACATACCGGTCTCTGTTGATTCTACTCATCGTCACAACTTTAGGACGTTGAGAGATTTTGTGGAGTGAGATGCTGGTGAGAGTGATGATGAAGATGTTAGCAGCAGTGGACTCCACTGCACGGTACACCAGGAACACAAAGTTCAGAGACTTGCTGTTCTGGTAGGCGGTACGGAATGACTGGACACAGATCCCCCAGGAGTTGGTAACCCTGACGTAACGGTACTGGGGCGTTATGAGCAGGATTAGTACCGTTATCAGAAGGGAGTATGTTACTATGGCAACCATTGTGTTCCGCACTGATCTCCTGGTAACGAAACTCTTGTACCTGGTTAAGAGATGTAGTTAATTCCCAATCTTCAAATGGACAATCGACTGGAACTTTAAGTTAAGGACATATGCATTTGGTTCATGCATTTCTGATGTGTTTACAAAATGAAGGTTGAAAATCTCCTATGTAGATAATTGATACTAACTTGAGCGGCAGAGAGACAGCAATACTTCTGTCCGAGGCGATGGCGAGCACCACGAACATGCTGACTCTGATCAGGAACCCCGTAGATCCCCCGTACAGCTTACCTTAATTAATGTGTTTTTAGTTAGTACAAAAGTATTAGACTTTAACCAGAGAATATTTTTTGACTGTGTCACGTGATGCATCAAGATGAAAAGATAACGTCACGTGAGGTAAAATGACGTCAGGTGATTGTAAGATTACGTCAGGTGATGCACTCACAAGTCCAAGTTGAAGCGAGAGGCCAGACTCCGAGCAGTTCTCTAGTAGTGAGCACAGTAGTAAGTCTCATGGGTATAGCTACCAGTCCAACTGTGAGATCTGACACAGCAAGAAGTAGCAGCAGTCTCATCGATATCGACTTGTGTTGCTGAAATTTGAATCATTTAACATAACATGCTTGGAATAGTGGGAATCTCAGTGTAAATTGTAATAAACTTAAAGTTTAGGAATGGATCTCTTTAAAAGTGATTACCTTGAGAAAGAAGATGGAAATACTGTTCAGAAAAACCACTGCCACGTCACAAACACAAAGAAACACTATCAAAACGTACTGCAGAGGCTTGGTCTGAAATATTTATATTATTGTTATAAGACTCGTATAGTCAGGATGATAATGCAGTGTCTTAAACGATCCATGATAAGCCTTTTATTGTCCGGCCTAGTTTAACCCGAACGGATCCCAGTAGGTCCAAAAACCCGAGAGGAGGCCGCGGTGGATCCAACGGTGTTTGATGTAAATTCGGTGGAGTCCGTTCTGGTCTACCTAAAATTGAAACTTAAAGTTTCAATTTGAACTCAGTTCATACCTGCTCTATAAAAAGAAGAGTCCCGTTGGAAATCATTATGTCTTTTTCAGAACAAGTTGGATTTCTCACTATCCTTGTATCCTATATTTATAGGTCACAGTTCATGGTCAATAGGAAATGTAATTAATCTGTCTCTTAACAAATATAACAAAGAGGATACACGTTTAAACAAGCGTATTTTTAAATCAGTAAACAAGTAACCCAGAGCAGAGTTCTATTTAATAACTTCGACCGTGGTCCGCTCAAAAAGTGAATTAAACAACAGACCTGCACCACCATTTAACAAATCCCTTTTTCTCAATCAAATTAACCCACGAGTTCACCTCAACAGGGACCATCCCATTTAATACTAGTGCTACTGCTGTATATTTGAGACCCAGGTACAACGATGCAAGATAAACCCGTAACACGTGCATTTTTAAGCTGATATTATTAGACAAAATACAAGCAGCATTGTTATAATGTCACGGTATTTGTTCATACTGTCATTATACTTATAGTATTACTATTAGTAGCCATGGGAGACAATATAGTGGTCATATATCATTGCTAGGAGAATATAGGAGATGTAAACGCGTCAGTGAACAGAAAACGACACGTACTGTTATGATTCATGAATTAACTTTTGAGTTTGACAAGCTCCAAATTTCATGTCAAGGGTCAATCTTTTGATAGTGGAAAAACATTTTTCAACTATAACAGCGTTCTAGTAGTGGCATATTTGACTACTAAACTTCATTTTCTTAAATCATTTAACAACTAAACGTAATATGAATATTCAGCTGGCGACAATGAAATTGTCTATCAACGATTGAGTCCTGCCCGCTAAGCCTAAATATAAGCCGTGGTACAGACATATTCCATTACAGAGAGCGATCACAATGTGACGGTTTTGAGCAATTGCTGTTTAGAGCCGTGCTGATCGACTCTAATCTAGCTTATACTTATAGTTATACGTATAGTTATTAAAAACAAATAAACCCGGCACGGCCACTATTTAGATTACTCGATACGTTACTTCTACAAAGATATGGGCTATCAAACCACATGCCTATAGGTTAAAATTCGACATTCAATTAATCTGGCTGCCCAAGATACACTTACAGAAACACATGGCCGACCGAGCTATCAGCTTATTATTATATTATAGGACTCTCAGCACGCGTCGTGTACATATTCAAGGATATTATTATAGCTGAAACTCGGTCAGGTCACAACTGAGCGCTTCATTTTGATTTTCACTTGTTGTCGAGCTCGTTACCGAGCATTTTGCACATGTGCACAGCTAATCGCTGAATGAATTGTACGCAACATCAGGTGTGGTTGCTCCTAAGAAGAGAAATTTCTTCATTAATCAAGACCCGTGATCTTATTGATTATTAAAATTCTTGTCATATTTGGAAGGGAGCTTTCTGGCTTTCGACAGAATTAGATTACGCTGAAAAATGAAGCTGTTTAAACAATGGTATAAAGATTCGTACCAATTATCAGTTGCCATCTTCCATGTTGTCCCCTTCAACTAATTAGTGGCTCTGTCGAGAGTTTTGACTTTTGAGTGCTACTTTCCAAATATCAAAATGCTACCAACTAAATTTTATTTTAAAAATTTTGGCAATACAGTATATACAGTAGACGTAAATTTGCATCATATTCATACTAATACTGAATGACTTACATAATATTATAATTGAATATAATATGATAAAAGTAGAACATAGCTTCACATTAGCCACCAGACAGCTAGTATAGTGCCTCGGCACTATGGTGCACTTTTTCCAGTCACACAATTTTCAAAGAATTAATGGTACATGGTAGGGAAAATTGATCGTGCGTGGTTTAATCGCGGCGAAATTCTTGTTGTATTTATTATCGATGATAAATCAATTAAATTTATTCCTCATCATAATGCACAGTTTATCCGGCTGGACCCTGTGTCAGTTCACAGGTCTAACACTAATACACGTAGGATCGTTATACACTAAATGAGGGATTGCAAGTGCAACTGCAACGGTTCTTTTATTGATCAATATTAAAGTAACGAAGAGCAGAGAAATATAATTTGAGTTACACTTCAACGATGAAATGAGTAAAGAAGCCTCAGCCTACATATTATTAAACAGATAAGGCCCTGTGCATGTAAGCGCACTCGCAGCTAAACTCGAAATATTTGACAGTCTCGTGACAGCATGACAGTGCACAAGTATATGGTAAACTTGTTGAATTGTGAATGTATCTAAATCAATACATAATTAGACATAATTGAATGCCTCTAAATAAACCTAGATATAAAAGGAGATAACCAATATAGCCCAAATATCCAGTAGCCCTGTATATCATATCGAAACCCAAATTATGTAATTGTATTGAAAGAGGGGTAACCAAAACACGGTAGTGTGCAGTAAGAAATACCACACCCGCAATAACACTGGGCCCTAGCAAAAAACAAATTAATCAATTTATTGCTACGCTTCGGAGGAAGTTTAATGTTTATGAGTAAAATCATAAGCTCTCCTATCCAGGGTGGATATGGTTCGTTAAGCCCATGTGCTATATGTCAAAGGTTACAAACTATAACAACCACTAAATGAAAGAAGCTCAAATGACCGTCCAAGAAAATATGATATAATTTAATAAATAACCTTATTACACATTATACAAACCTGATGAAAGAATATAGTTATACTGATCTCACTGTCTGTCCTGCGTGATGCTGGATCGAGAATAGATTATTGTTTACACAATTAATTTAAATATATTCGTAAGATGATTAATCAGTTCACGCTCACTATCACGTGACTAACTTTAACGCGTTCTGTTGGTGGCTATTATGGCTGATCAAAACTCTAACCAGAACCTGGCCCTGTAGCTCTGTAGTCTCACTCTCAATCATTAGCTACAGCATCTACTCTGCCAGTATCCCAACTCTGAGGAGAAATTTGACCTACTTCCTTATACGGGCTTGTCAAGGGATCAAAACAGCTCAGCTCAGTTGGATACCCATAAATCTTCAGGAAAGCGTGTTAACCCGGTGTCGGCCGCTCCCATCAAATTGCTCTCCCAAATTTGTTAATTAAAATCTTGTAAAAAGACTGAAGACCCCTGCTTGAGGTTATGACAATTGCCTACATCGATGTATTTTTGAACGCTGATTCCAAATCACCCCCATGACGTAAAATTAAAATTCTTCCCTTAATTACAAGTTTCAAAAATTGTGAGTTTGAATATAATACTTCAACTTGCAGGTTTATATTAACAGGTGATACTCGTAAAATATTTGTTCCAAATATTACCCAGGATACCCTTACCTGAGGACCCCAGGCTATTATGTTCATTAACATATAATAAAGATTTGGCGGAATGACAGGCTGAGCGCGGCCCAGTAAGGATACCCTTGTCATACGTTGTATGACCCGCCTGTATCGTAGAAATCTCTACAGTGAAACGACCGTGGGGGTCACGACGTTTGACGGATGTTACTCGTCTAAATTTCTTCGAAGTAGCGCGCGCCGCTTTCTTCTCGACAAGTGCTACGAAGTAGCGCGCGACAGGCCAGAACATTAACAATGGTCTTAATCACGACGTGCGCGTGATTAGTTGTAGGTTTACAACCTACCAGGACGCGCGCCGAGTTGGACTTGTCGTAATATATGGAACAGATATTTTACGAGTATCACCCGTTAAGTGATTTGTCTTATATCATCGCGCATCAAATAAATATTAAATATAATGTTTCTCATCCTTGTTAGCAGTTAGATCGGCGAGATGAGATGCACATTGCACCACTGGACCACGGTTATCTGCGCAAGATTGAAATCGTGAATCGAGGTCTATCTCCGAAGGCTTTTACTAATTCGCTCGCCCAAAAAAATCACGTGACTTTGGTTTTTTGTTTTTATGGTTTATTATTATTATTATTATTATTATTATTAAACCTTGTCATACGTTGTATGACCTGCCGCGCACGAGTGCGCGGCTCCCCCTGTATCGTCGAAACTCTACTAATACTATAGTGAAGCGACCGTGGGGGTCACCACGTGATACAACATAAACCCTAATCCCAACCCTAACCCCAACCATAACCCCGAAGCTATTCTTAACCGGAACCCTTACCACGTTGTTTCACATAGCCTTGTATCACGTTGCGACCCCCACGGTCGTTTCACTATGTTTTTATCGTTCTGACGATACAGGGGGAGCCGCGCACTTCGTGCGCGGCGGGTCATACAACGTATGACAAACATAGCCATGACCCATGTGTATACGCGTACTGCGTGACGCGCTTGTTTCACAAGTAGAATATACCTTGATTCACGATGTCAATCCTTCGCAGCTCGGTGAGGCACAGTTTCACATAGCCATGTACGTACTGCAAGCGAGAGGGCTCTGGTTAGAGCAAAGGCACAGTTCAGTGGTGCATCTCGCCGATCTGCGAGAGGAATTATATTTGATGCGCGGCGCGACCCAGTAGTGCATCGCGCTACAAAATATACCTTCCTTTGCCGCCTTCGGCGGTCGCGCGCTACTGCAAGCGAGAGGGCTCTGGTTAGAGCAACCACGTTGTCATACGTTTTATGACAACGTTTCACTATATACTATAGTGAAACGACGATGGGGATCACGACGTGATACAATTACCACGTACATGCACAATCCTAAATCCTAACACGAGCCTTAAACAATCGAATTCATGCTTTACTTTGTATCACGTCGTGACCCCATGATCGTTTCACCTGTAGAGTTTCTTTAACGGGTGATACTCGTAAAATATCTGTTCCATATATTGGACCGTCGACGAGTCCAACTCGGCGCGCGTCCTGGTAGGTTGTAAACCTACAAGAGTTTCTATGATACAGGGGGAGCCGCGCACTCGTGCGCGGCGGGTCATACAACGTATGACAAGCTTTTTAGCTTTACTAGCCTGTCATGGGACCAAAACGGTTTTTGCCCATAACTCTCCAGGGCCGCGGATGCATTTTTACCCTACGTCATAAAACAAAAGTTAGCTTTGACCATTGTTAATGGTTTGGCCCGGCGCGCGCTACTTCGTAGCACTTGCCGTCGGGCCATTTCGAGAAGAAAGCGGCGCGCGCTACTTCGAAGAAATTTAGACGAGTAATGCATCCGTCAAAAGTTAGCTCCGATCCCCAGGAGCACAATTTGAGACAACGTAGATTTAGAGTTATCCTAAAAATAAATGTTTTATTTCGGGCCGAATAAAAGACGGCCGGATGCGACGACGGATGCTTCGATGCGACGCAAAAATGCTAGTTTGCACGGCGCGGCGAAGTCCTCCAAACATAAGAATGCGTCACACATACAATCACATTCACATATATATCAGCGTAGTTAATGTTACTGGGCGGCGCTCAGCCTGTCATTCTGCGGAATCATTTTCTTTATGAACACAATTTGATTCATGATGTCAATCCTTCCTAGCTCGGCGAGGCCCAGTGGCGAATTTCTGATTTCGCCGATCTACGGTGGTTGCGATCAGTATCACCCGTTAACAATCTCGGTGTGTTACCAGATTAAAAGTTTTATTCTCATTTTGTACATTGTAGGTTTATAACTTACCGACTTGACGGATGTTACTCGTTTAAATTTCTTCGAAGTAGCGCGCGCCGCTTTCTTCTCGAAATGTCCGATGGCAAGTGCTATGTGCTACGAAGTAGCGCGCGCCGGGCCAGACCATTAACAATGGTCAAGTAAAACAAAAGTTAGCTCCGATCCCCAGGAGCACAATTTGCGCGCGTCCTGGTAGGTTGTAAACCTACAATAAAAATGGTCAACCTACCGACCATTGCCTCATTGAAGGATCTAATATTTGAAATCAATATTTACGGGTATCATTTGATTCACGATGTCAATCCTACTTGACGGATGTTACTCGTCTAAATTTCTTCGAAGTAGCGCGCGCCACTTTCTTCTCGAAATGGCACGAGCTACGAAGTAGCGCGCGCCGGGCCAGATCATTAACAATGGTCAAAATCCTTCGCATCTCGCCGATCTTCGCATCTCGCCGATCTGCATACGATCTGTGGTTGCGAGAAGATGCGCGGCGCGGCCTAGTAGTGCATCGCGCTACAAGGGTATCATCCGTAAAATATTTTTGCAACCACTTAAGTTTCCGAGTGAAAGAAAAATATCAAATTCAATGATTCAGTTAACATATGTAGAGAAATAAAATATACAATTTAAAATTACACATATAAAGCACCTCATGCCAAATGTTTGTCAAAGAATCTTTCAATCTTCATCAAGATAATTCTACAACTACAAGATCAGGCTCTAACTAAATCGCTCGCCCGAAAATTGTCACGTGAGATTAGTTTTTATGGTATTCTGGCCAAACGAAAAGATTTTCGGAAATCCCTAACCTCAACCCTTACTCTTTCCGAAGATCGATCCCAATCCCTAAGATTAATTTTTAATTTGCATTCGTCGCCAGATCTGACATGATAGATTCTCGCTAAGGGAAGTATTTGTAACCTATATCATTGGAAGTGGTTCAGAATCAGCGTCAAAAAATGGCCCGAGTTAGTAAGACTAAGAGCACTTCCACATGATTTACATAAAGTTGGGCGAGCAACAAGATTATCTTCAAACCTGTGCAATCTGTAGTTAAAGATCACAGTCACACTTCAATGCAATTTAATCACAGCGTTGACTCAACTTCAACTTATATACAAATCACTCCAAAATCTTTATCGAAATTCGATCGAATCGCTAAAACAAGAGTCCAACTCTGATTACTTCACTTGTTGTCTTCAAAACTGCTGCTCAAATGTCCCGACACTGTATCGTCCTGAAAAATAACTTGATTTATTTGGAGGTTAATAATTGTTTCAATTTTGGCATACCTTAACCGCAAGAATAATGACCTCCATTCAACCAGACAGCGAAATGATGGTCACTGTTATAATATCACGTCTGATGATTACACCCAACGTACCTGGGTGTAGGAAGGAATGAAGTCTCCTGTGTTCCAAAGTGATCTCGAATCTTTGGTTGCATCGTACATTGAGTAGGTGTCACCTGCAAGATCCTGATTTAACCTCATGTCGACGAATTCAAATTAAAAACCTTAATTAAAAATTAATATGAGCAAAACGTGATTGAAATGTCTTATATTGCTTCTTATTCAGAGTTTTAGAGCAAATTCCACAATTTAAGAAACATGTCCACAATCGAAAATCGTTAAGGAGACATTTCTTCCTGACTGTTTAAAATATACAGCAAATCAAATCCAAACAAAATAAGTAAGATTTTCTTTGAAATGTTTATAAATTGTTAAAGATTAAATTGGAGCTCATTAGTCCTTTAGTCATTACCTGTAGCAGACAGAGCTGGACTGGTACTGGTTGAGGAGTTGTTAAAGTCTATCTGCGAGCAATCAAGACTGGAGAAATCTTTTTCATTCAATCCGTCCTGTAGTTGTAGAAACTAAGTATAGAAAAATATCTTGATAACCCTGATGTCTGATATCGAGTAAAAGGGTAAAACAGGAATCGGAAGATTACCAACATTCAAAACAAGTGATCACTGATCAAGAATACGTTTAAATATATATATACTATACTGACCATGCCTGATTTGAGTCTGTCTTCTGAAGGACTATCTGCTACTGAACTTGAAATGACATCGTCTCCCGAAGCAGCAGCGATAGCTTTTTTCTTGTCCTTACAACGCTTGTTTTGAAACCACACTCGTATCACTCTCGCGCTCAGGCCTGCCCAAATACAGTAGTCAGCTAATCAAATATTTGATTCGGATATATAAAATGAAGAGAGGAAAGGTTAAACGTTCTACGAGAATTTATAAGGTATAAAATCACACAAAAGCCTGTCCATTAACACTCACCAGTGAGTTTAGTCATCTGTTCTTTCATGAGGGCGTCAGGTCGCGGGTTATTGTTATAGCACGTGCGTAATATACGCAGCTGCCTGTCGTTCAGGACCGTCCTGACTCTCGTTGTTTTCTGTTCACCACTCGATCCTGTGTTTGTGGATCGCGGCTTGCTTTCTGAAGGAGTTAAATCATTGGTAACCGGCCTGAATATGCTGATAAAATACAGAGAACGTCTTCAAGACAATCAGAGACAAGGTGTGAGACACAGATTAAATGTGAGACACAGAGCTCGCCTTTAATTTGATCTTTTAACCCAAGCTTGCTGTGATCCATGATAAGTAATTAAAATCCAGCACATCATTCTATATCAGGGTGGAGCTTGTGATGAATGAACTTCCTCTCTCATATTAAATAATTGGAGCCCTCACCTTGACCTTGTTAAAGACCACCTTGTCGGTACCCAAAGCCGGCAGGGATGGTTATATATATTGAATTTGAAGATCAATTCGAAAACAACATTACTTTGTGACAAGAAACACGTTGTAACATAAAGGTAACCCTTGCTAAGTAATGCTTGCTAATAGCGATCTTTATCCTTATCAAATGTTGAGATTAAAGTAAGGCAATGTAGGGGAACTGTGTGTACTATATTTATAATATGCTACGGATAAATTGTTCGACACTCAATTCAAAATGACCAGATATATATCGTAACAAGTAATGAACTAATTATTGTAATGCTGTTTGGGGTTTTGTGATCCATGATATATATGAGGTTAAGTGGTAATTTAACTTATAAGTTATTACTGACTTTATGTAGCAAAGTTATACAACAACATTTAATGTTATTAAAATTTCCATAGCCAAACCACAGTTTGATTCCTTTAAATACCCCAGACCCTATCCTCGCAGAGGTCGCACGAAGTGTAAACTATACGAACTGCCAGGTACAGTTTTATATAATTGTACTAACTGTAAATTCAGTCAAGACTGCAGACGTTAGTCTCTGAAAGGAATTATTTATACCTGGTAAGGGTTCGTGAGGTATGGGGGCTTGGTGATGTTGCTGCTTTATGTGAGTTCCACATATTAATCCTTCTGGTAACAGAGCGAATTCTTCGCCAGGAACCAGCTGCCTTGAGCACATATTACACCGGAAACAGCTGTAATGATTAGAAATTTAGAACTAAGAGAGAAATAGGCCACTGTTTGGTGGAGTTAGGAACAAAATCTACAGTGAAATGTTAAAGTATTATAACTGAATAATTGTCAGTTTCATTCCTGTGAGTGGGTTGATCATAATTTGATAAGGTAGACGAATGAGCTTCTCAACTCATTCGTCTACCTCGCAAAATTGATAAAAGTGAATGCCACCAATTAGATGTCATATGTTGTTAAATTCATTACATAATCCATAAAATTCAAAAAGTGGCACAGAGAATCTTTTAAGTTGTCGCCCGGGCTGCCACTTAATTAAATAATAAATCATTAGATAAGCTAACAGTTTGATTAAATGAAATAAAAAATGACTAACCTAAGATGGAAGATATTTTCTCGAACTCGCATCACAAAATCGTTGGATGAAAAACCTTGATCACATCGATGACACTTTGCACCGAACCTTCTGAGATTAATGTAAACAGATGGCGTTCTCTAAGAAATGTCAAAGAATACTCTAGACTGTAGATTGGCCAGTTTAAATTTAAGAGAAAACGTTTATAGTTGCAAAATGGAACATTAAAGAACTTACCGGACGAAATCCTTTTTACAGTACGGCTTTCCCTCTCTGATAAAACAGGTACAGTTTTCATCCAGGAACTTCTGAAAGTGGGCTTACATTAAAAGCCAATAAAGATGCTTAAAAACATGTAACAATCTTAGAAAATCTTGACGTGTTAAACTTTCAGAAGGACGGAGTTAAAACAAGAATTAGGGTGCGGATCAGGTTGGTATAGTTGGTGCTTACATTACAGTCGTCGCACTTCAGACAGGAAGCGTGCCACTCCAGATTGGGGGCTACGCGCAGGATAAACTGATCGGTAATGGGGCACCGGCATCCAGCACAAACCGAGGGGTTCACACCTTTATCTGGAGAAGGAGGAGGGGTTACAGAGGAATATCGTTCAAGCTAAAGTTTCATAAAACTGGGTGCAGAAACTATGGGGAAAGTGTGTAATTGTGCTGGGAAATGAATGGTATCCGAATCGCAAAACTATTCATAATACATCGAATAATGTGGGGTGAATTCTGAGAAAATTACGCAATCTCATAGATAACTCCGACTTTGCAATGATTTCCTCCTACTTTCTTCCTTGTAACCCACTCGGCTCTTAAAACCATTGGTACCACCGATAGCGAGCAGGATCAAGCTTTTGTTAAACAAACACGTTTCTCTGATCACGTGGCTGCAGATTGCAGAACTATGACACAGATGTGACATATTAAGTGGTCTGCTTGCCTTGTGTTCAGTAACAATGGATCCTACGAAATATATTGCCCAGATTTCTTGTGAGTCCACCTTTGTAAGCACAAGACGCACTGTTCAACTCTCTCTCTCTCTCCCCTCTCTCTCTCTCTCCCTCTCTCTCTCTCTCTCTCTCTCCCTCCCTCTCTGCCGCCTTGTCGAGAGTTTTACTTAAAAGGTATAATCTACAACTACATATACTACGTGCACCGAGGTCTGAGAACAAATTTTCTCTTTCAAGGTTTGCATTGACATCAGAGCCGAGTCAGGTTCATACGTTGCAGGACACCTTTCTACATTAGCCAGGAGGCGCGTCCTTGTCCTCACTCCTCTCTTGTAAAACACCTTGACTAACCAGCCACCGTGTGAAAAGTGAACGGATAATGAGAAATAAATTAGAGACAAATATTAATTCAAAAGATTTCGAAATGATGAACACATTGTACATCTCTTAGTCAATGACCGGAGTTCAAATTAAAATTATGAAGATAAAATAAGCTGCTAACAGTTACACAAATAACAATGATATCATTCTAAACAAAAGCCACGACCAGCCGAGTGTACTACAAACATAACTCGAGCTGTGCCACCGGAAAATTTACCTTTCATTTAGGAGATACATTGATATTGATCAGAGGTCTTCAACTATACAATCCTCAATCCATATTTCTTGAATATTTCTTGAAGTAAAAGTTATGACTGAGTAGCTAAAACGGCATGGAAAATACACACGCACGAAATGGTGTCCCGCAGATATATTAAATTATACAAACACTCTGGGGAGGGCAGGAGACCACATTTAAAAGCTATATTTCGATGTGCTGTCCAGAGGCAAATGCTCGTTGTTATATACTGTACTACTACTATACAGTAGGGTGGAAACTCATCAAAGTATACAAAGCTGCCAACAATAAGAGCGATAAAACATAGACTTTTAAGATGAAACGTAGCCCTATTCCGAGAAAACTTTGCTACTATTTCGTGTAATCCTATCGACAACCAAAGCACGGTTTGATTATAACTAAAGTGTGAACTACCACCACAGTTTCTCTTATCAGCTCGACCACCATTCTTATCAGTAATTCAAATAAAAAGCAGGCTAAATTACCGCTCAATAAAAATACATTATAATAACGCGACTATATATTGATATGTTAGTACACAGACTCAGCTGAAATACTATTTAATACACTACAATGATTGCGACATAGCAGTATTAGTAGCAAGCACACAAAGCTCGATAAAATGGTGTACTCAAGCTTTTTTTGTGACGAGTCCGTATAAGGTTACTGTTATGAAACAAAAGTATCAAACAAGGTTACAAACGCAGTGAGTTAGAGAGGAAACAGGAGATTGGCACACTCAATCTAAAATGATGAGGTTAAACTGCACGCAGAATAAAGGAGGTGCCATCAATTTGGAATCTTGTACGTTTGATACGAGGCATGTTCATTGACCACTACGGTTGGAACGAAAATATACTAAATAGTACAGTTTAAATCTGTGATGAAGTATCCGGAAAACAGTCCAGAAGCCAACAATCACGACCAGAAAGGTACGCAAGCAGAGTGACAAAAGCACGCGTGTTATACAGACTGTAGACACACTACCGGGGGATGCAGACAGCAAAGTCAACACAAAACTATTGACACCAAACAAATGGAAGGTAAATATTTATAGAAGTAACAAACACACTCACTCACTTACACACACACACACACACACACACAAAATTCCACATCCTAGAAGTGCAAGTGAGCAAGTAAAGCTGGCGCGGCCCCCCACCCAACAAGATTCTCCCAGGATCATTCGGCCCGGTACACCCAGTGAAGTGGACCTAGTGAGAAGAGCCGCACCACTGCTCGCATAGACCCCACTGGGACGACAGTATGGAGGAGGACCCGCTACGTAATCTCCTTCTCAGGGTGATTAAATTCCGGGAGGAGTATCATAATCTCGGGGAGGTGATTCGGGAGAAATAGTGGGATTACCTGATCTATAAATAATTATGGTCTGTAATAGGTTACCTAATTACGGTGATACTTGTAAAAGCTTGCTTGATATGTGCAACTACGTAACGGGACAACAATCTTATTCTTACAAAGCGAGCTGTCTCATCCTTTAACAGAACATTTAGGGGATACGTGTTCAGCATACGAGAAATGTCAGCCAAATCTAGAACGAAAGATCCGATAACTAATTTTTGGATCATATATATTACATCAAAATAAATTCGAGGAAATTTTAAGATTGTAATTTCAATGTATTGGCAATGGCTTACTCCTAAATCGACCCTATATATATATATATTTTACAAGTAATTCCCTAGGTGACCGTTATGCAGTGACCTTGTCTAACTTATCGGAAATGTCAATTCAATTATCGAATTAACCTGCAATTCTTTAGAATTAGATACAACGAAATTTATAACTTGTCAGCTTAAGAACTGGTAAAACCCCACGATACAATTCTGAACCACTTCGATCTCGACTCGTTTCAGTCACATTTTTTTGTGGGCGTTTTCTCCGCAACATGATCGCGCGGAGTGATGAAACTCAGACTGGAAGGCAAGCGATAAATTCGGGCTGGTGTCACAACCCGAATATTTAAGTAAATATAAAAACAGTTAAAAGAGGGATAGTTGCGTGCTTGATAAGCAGGAGAAACATCTAAATAGGCTGCGTGTTGGGGGTGAGCTGGTCCCAATTATGGGAGGGCCGGAGGGACACCCGGGCTAAACAGCTAATAGAGGTTCACCAGGCACACTGTATTTGGGGGAGCCGGCAATCTGGGACACCCCACCGGCAATGTGTGCAAACTCCCGTACCACGTGACTACCGTGTCTGATAGCAACGTGTTACCTTCCATTAAATCACATTTAATAGCTGTGTTTTGCAATCTTTTTAAACGGTGCCTTTGTTCACCAACAACCCCCATGAACCTTGATTTAAATACTCTAATGGGAGCTGCCAAAACGCCGATTATCACTCTTTATGACTTTAGGGCTCAAAAAAGCTTTGATTAATAATGTACGTCTTCAAATATCCCTCCCGTAGTTTTGGAAATTTAGGCAGCTCAAAGAAGTACCACTTAACAGGAAAAAACCAAGGTGCACTGCCCGAGGGTTCAAAACAAGTCTGTTAAGGACCAGCCGATAAGCAGACCACCACCATAACCTTTTACCCAGAGCAACAAGTATGATGTAAAATGGAAGAGTTGTATCTATGATTCAAGTATTTGGTATTTTAGGCGAGGAGACCTAACATTTCAACCTCAGGCTCATGTATAATCAATAAGAAAGTTCAATAGGATTTTAAAGAAATTTGTCTCTTACCTCTCCGAGAACACATTTTATACAGACTGAAACTAACCGAATAAATCACAGCTAAACTTGACAAAATTTGAGACAGAAGGAAGGATTAATCAGTAATCTCCGCCACGTAACAATCGGCTTAAATCATCAAATCAATTAAATGAATGACCGTAAAAGACAGCCCGATATGCACGAGCAAATTACATGGTAACGAGAAGTTCCAGACGTGGTTTGAAAAAGTGCATTACAACCCGCACCATCCACCCGAGATTCCACAAAAAAGGACCCCCTTATCCGGGCATGACTACTCCGGTTGAGACAACGACTGAAAAAGATGAGATTAGGGATCGATTGGGTACGCAATTCCTGTTTATAGCTGTCTATCACCAAGTTTAGATGGCAGTTTCTGTAAACCACAGCCAGCCAACAGAGTTTGTTACAAGTTTACAGACTTGACAAACACCCGGACCTGTCTCAAGATGGCAAAAGAGAAACATTTCGTTAGTATGTTGCTACTTGCTTGTACTTATACGGCTAAGGAGGGGAAAAATCAACGAGTCGATTATCTAATTTCAATGATTATCATTCGCGGATGTGATCAAACAGAGAATTATAGTTCCTTTAACCTATTCTAGATTAGGTACAAAATTCCCGTTCCTTGGTTTTGGTGGGTTTATCCGTTGATTTCTGAAAATACTGCCCCAAAATCTCAAGACTCGACTCCCAAAGAACCGACAGTGACATAATGCAATATAAATCTTTTAATTGGCTATATTTAAAATTCAAGAATCTGACACCGCATAAAGCTGGATCCATCAGGCAACAGAAACAAAATACTTAATCGAACATTCACACAACACTACCCTTATTAAAACAATCTCAGTTGAGTAAAGACTTAATAATGAAACAAAGGCGCCAGAAAGTTAACTGAATATCAACTTATTGAAACGAAAAACGTCTTTTTACTAGCTTCACTCTCTAGCTGTCAAATTGGGAGAATTCTAGGCAAAAAAGATCGTACAGTCATGACAAATTGTTAAATACCCGATAGTGTAATGAAAAAAGGAATTGATGGCCTGGACAAATCGTAGACAAACTACAAAAGCCAGACAAAAACCATTAAGCAGAAATATGCGATATTCGAGAAAAAAGCATAAAAAGTCAAAGCAAAGTACATCCTGAGGAAAGATGAAGTAAAAAGTGATGGTATATACATCGGTTCACTATGTCAGTGTACCTAGCCATCATACCGAGCACAGTTAATGGACATTGAACAGATCGGTCACGCAAATGCAGACTTATACGATCCACCATCCAATCCTAGCTGAGAGTTATATAAGGGACCCCCCAAAATTTTAATTTTGCTTATAATATTTTGTGTAGTGTATATGAGCAGTGCACATGGTATTGTGATGTGCCAATAAGCAGCGAGGTGTTAAATATCGAAATGTGTCAGTGAAAATTTGACAGTTACCCTCGAGATGGAGTCTTACTCACCTGGTAAAGGGCTGATAAACTGATCATCGCGCAACATATTGTAACAAATCTCTAGCTAAATCTCTTTGGCACAGAGCATGCATACCCAGCAGGCAGGCAGTGAGCGGCGTGTCACGTGGTACACTTAACGTCGTCACATGATCAATTTCCTCTCTTGTATTGGTTGTAAAAAGCAGCACGTGACCTGGGAAAGCCGCGCGATAGGACCACAAAAAACGGGCACGTGAGAAGGTGATGTGGCTGGATTGGGCGGGCGACGGTCGTTACAGGAACCTATTTTACTTAATGGATTTGTTGTGATCACGTTAGTAAGATATATGGGCTGTGGAAAACAATTTTCATTGTTACAATGTACCGGGATTATCGTGAAATTTGCTCATTTTAAAGAGAAAAGCGGTATGTGTTCGCTGGACTTAACTATTTATGTTTTAAGTGGAATTGACTGTGGATATGAGCAAAGCTTTACTGAGTTTGACATCTCACAAGCTAGTTTCAAATATGAGGGATTGCAAAATATCTTGGTTATCTGGAAAATCTCAGCTCATAAGATCAGCACTGGTGTAAGAACAAAGAACAGAGAGTTAGTACTTATGTCTTTAAACCTAACGCCAGTCAAATATCGATCAACAACTCTGCAAAAACATAGGATGACACATTTCGCGGGTGACTTGTGTTGTAAATTAAAATATCTATTTCCTCGCAAACTTCAGATAAAAGATCCTTTTGAGGAACCCGAGATTGCGGAACCGAGAATAGTCAAGTCTGGACAATTTTTGACTTTCTTAATCCGACAAAGCTCGTCAAGACATCAAATGCGTCACAATTTTTGTAGCAATATTACTAGCACCATCCCACCAGGGTTGGCATAGAAAGGAGTGATACAAAGGATAGAGAGATGCCTAACTAAGTCTTGTTGGTTGCTATTGTTGACAAATGATTTGATCAATTCTCAGGACAATATTTTGGGCCCGAACTTTGTGACACCGTTCCGTGTCCCTCACAGCAGAGCACCGCTTGACACAGAACAGCTTCTGATAAACCGGTTTTTGAGGTATTACTGACACAAAAGTAACACATCATAACTTTACAGACGATTATAAAATGAGTTCGGTTTGTTTCTAGAATATTTGGTGGTAGCCGAGATCTCGTCTCGTCTCGACCCCAAATTAGGGACAGCCACATATTACAATAGTCGCAAATCTGTTTAGTTAAATTGTCAAAGAAACATGGCACGTAACAGCTCTAACCCCTTTAGTAGATCGGGGTGGTGTACCAATATCACGGGAGGGTGAGAAATGTTGTACAAGCTTGAGAGGAGAACTTCCGAGTTTTGCGCGATCTTGTCATTACTCTCAAGAGCAGGTGTGTCCTGGAAATTAATATCAATTAATCGATAAATTTGCAACTGCAAGCAACTGTTCGTTATGTTAATTATATCGGTTAATAAACGAATTCTTATTTTGACACGGAGTATGTGTGCAATCATAATATGATACAAGCAAGAACCCATTGTATTATTAATTTAGAATATTCCTAATTTGGCAGGGCGATAGTCATTATACATCTTATAGTCGACTTCAATGTAAAATCATCCTAACTAACTTTAAGCAGTTAGGATGATTTTAAAAGTTTCAATGATTTATGATTGAAGAGCAGCAACTTTCAAAATATTTTACAACAATTCCGGATGAGTTTCGACAATAACATCATTGAATAAATCACTCACAATGCAATAACATGCAAAACAAAAGCTTCAAAAGCTTCGGTTTGATAAAGATCCCCCTACTCATCGTCATATACCTGTTGTGTGCTTGACCCCATAC